AAGCTCATACACCATGATCAAGTTGGGTTTATTCCAGAAATGCAAGGATTCTTCAATGTATGCAAATCAATCCATGAAATTAAAAGACGCTTACTCCTTGGAAGGAAAGTTATGACCAACCTAGACAGCATATTAAAAAACAGAGACATTACTTTGTCAACAAATGTCCATCTAGTCAAGGCTATGGTTTTTCCAGTGGTCATGTATGGATGTGAGAGTTGGACTATAAAGAAAGCTGAGCGCTGAAAAATTGATGCTTTTGAACTGTGGTGTTGGAGAAGACTCTTGAGAGTCCCTTGGACTGCAAGGAGATCCAACCAGTCCATCCTAAAGGAGATCAGTCCTGGGTGTTCATTGGAAGGACTGATGCTGAAGCTGAAACTCCAATACTTTGGCCACCTGATGCGAACAGTTGACTCATTTGAAAAGATCCTGATGCTGGGAAAGATTGAGGGTGGGAGGAGAAGGGGACGACAGAGGATGAGATGGTTGGATGCCATCACCGACTCGATGGACATGGATTTGGGTGGACTCCAGGAGTTGGTGATGGACAGGGAGGCCTGGCATGTGCAGTTCGTGGGGTCACAAAGAGTCAGAGACGACTGAGAGACTGAACTGAACTGAACACCATGCTAACAAATTGAAAGATAAAAACCATATGATAATCTCAACAGATTCAGAAAAAGCCTTTGACAAAATTCAGCACCCATTTGTGATTAAAACTCTTTAAAAAATGGGCATAGAAGGAACCTACCTCAACATAGTAAAGGCCATATATGATAAGCCTAGAGCAAACATTATTCTCAATGGTGAAAAACTGATAGCATTCCCCCTAAGATCAGGAACAAGACAAGGATGTCCACTTTCACCACTATTGTTCAACATACTTCTGGAAGTCCTAGCTACAGCAATAAGAGAAGGAAAAGAAATAAAAGGAATCCAGATTGGAAAAGAAGTAAAGCTCTCACTGTTTGCAGGTGACATGATACTGTACATAGAAAACCTTAAAGATAGTATCAGAAAATTACTAGATCTAATCAGTGAATTTAGAAAGTTGCAGGATACAAAATCAATGCACAGAAATCACTTATATTTCTATATACTAACAATAAAAAATCAGAAAGAGAAATTAAGGAATCAATCCCATTTACCATTGCAACAAAAAGAATTAAATATCTAGGGATCAACTTACCTAAGGAGACAAAAAAACTGTACACAGAAAATTATAAGACACTGATGAAAGAAATCAAAACAAACAGATGGAGAGATATACCATGTTTCTGGGTGGGAAGAATCAATATTGTGAAAATGACTATACTACCAAACACAGTCTACAGATTAAATGAAGTCCCTATCAAATTATCAGTGGCATTTTTCACAGAACTAGAAAAAAAATTTTCACAATTCATATGGAAACACAAAAGACCCCAAATAGCCAAAGCAGTCTTGAGAAAGAAAAATGGAGCTAGAGGAATCAACCTTCTTGACTTCAGATTATCAAGACAAGTATGGTACTGGTACAAAACAGAAATATAGACCAATGGAACAAGATAGAAAGCCCAGAAATAAACCCATGCTCCTATGGTACCTTATTTTTGACAAAGGAGGCAAGAATATACAATGGGGCAAAGACAGCCTTTTCAATAAATGGTGCTCAGAAAACTGGACAGCTACATGTAAAAGAATGAAATTAGAACACTTCCTAACACCATACACAAAGATAAACTCAAAATGGATCAAAGACCTAAATGTAAGACCAGAAACTATGAAACTCTTAGAGGAAAACATAGGCAGAACACTCACTGACATCAATCAAAGCAAGATCCTCTATGACCCACCTCCTAGAGTAATGGCAATAAAAGCAAAAGTAAACAAGTGGGATGTGATTAAACTTAAAAGCGTTTGCACAGCAAAGGAAACTATAAGCAAGGTGAAAAAAACCCTCAGAATGGGAGAAAATAATAGCAAATGAAACAACTGGCAAAGGATTAAGTTCCAAAATATACAAGCAGCTCATACAACTCAATACGAGAAAAACAAACAATCTAATCAAAAAGTGGGAAAAAGACTTAAAGAGGCATTTCTCCAAAGAAGACATACAGATGGCTAACACATGAAAAGATGCTCAACATTGCTCATTATTAGAGAAATGCAAATCAAAACTACAATGAGATATCACCTCACACCAGTCAGAATGGCCCTCATCAGAAAGTCTACAAACAATAAATGCTGGAGAGGGAGTGGAGAAAAGGGAACGCTCTTGCACTGATGGTGGGAATGTAAACTGATACAGCCACTATGGAAGATGGTATGGAGATTCCTTTAAAAACTAGGAATAAAACCACCATATGACCCAGCAATCTGACTCCTAGGCATATACTCTGAGGAAACCAAAATTGAAAGAGACACATGTATCCCATTATTCATTGTAGCACTATTTACAATAGCTAGAACATGGAAGCAATCTGGATGTCCATCAACAGATGAATGGATAAAGAAGTACATATACACAATGGAATATTACTCAGACATAAAAAGGAACACATTTGAGTCAGTTCTAATGAGGTGGATGAACCTAGAACCTATCATACCTCTGAAGTGAGTTAGAAAGAGAAATACTGTATTCTAACACATATATACGGAATCTAGAAAAATGGTACTGAAGAATTTATTTACAGGGCAGCAATGGAGAAACAGACATAGAGAATAGACTGATGGAGATGGGGAGAGGGCAGGAGAGGGTGAGATGTGTGGAAAGAGTAACATGGAGACTTACATTACCATATGTAAAATAGATAGCCAAGGGGAATTTGCTCTATGGCTCAGGAAACTCAAGCAGGAGATTTGTATCAACCTAGAGGGGTGGGATGGGAAGGGAGATGGGAGGGAGTTTCAAAAGGGAGGGGATATATGTATACCTATGGCTGATTCACGTTGAGGTTTGACAGAAAACAGCAAAATTCTGTAAAGCAATTATCCTTCAATAAAAAAGAAATAAATTTAAAAAAAATGTGAGGCTGGACACTATAAAAATCTTTGAGGAGAACATAGGTAGAACACTCTCTGACATAAATCACAACAATATCTTTTCAATCCATCCCCCAAAGTAATGGAAATAAAAACAAAAATAAACAAATGGGACCTAATTAAACTCAAAAGCTTTTACACAGCAAAGGAAACCATAAAGAAAATGAAAAGACAACCCACAGAATGGGAGAAGATATTTCCAAATGATGTGACCAACAAGGAATTAGTCTGCAAAATTTACAAATGGCTCATGTGGCTTAATATAATAAAAACAAACAGCCCAATCAAAAACAGAAGACCTAAGCAGACATTTCTTCAAAGAAGACATACAGATGGCCAAGAGGCACATAAAAGATGTTCAACATTGCTATTTATTAGAGAAATGGATTTCAAAGCTGCAATGAGATATCACTTCCTACCTCAGGATGGCTATCATCAAAAAAATCCACAAACAATAAATGCTGGAGAAGACAGGCAGAAAGGGAGCACTTTTACACTGTTGGTGGGAATGCAAATTGGTATAGCTACTGTGGAGAACAGTATGGAATTTCCTTAAAAGTCTAAAAACAGAGCTACTGTATTATCTTGCATTCCCACTCCAGAGCATATATCTGCAGAAAAACATGGTCTAAAAGGATAAACACACCCTAGTGTTCACTGCAGTGCTGTTTACAGTGGCCAAGACATGGGAGCAACCTAAATGTCTATTAACAGAGGAATGGATAAAGAAGATGTGTTACGTATACACAATGGAATATTACTCGGCCACTGAAAAGAATGAAATAATGCCATTTGCAGCAACATGGACAGATCTAGAGACTGTCACACTGAGTGAAGTAAGTCAGACCGAGAAAGTGAAATACTGCATGATATTGCCTAAGTGAAAAATCTAAAAAAGTGAGACAAATGAACTTTCTTTACAAAACAGAAACAAACCTACAGACTTAGAGGATGAACTTATGGTTACCGGGGGAAAAGGGTAGTGGGAGGAAAAGTTAGGGAGTTTGGGATTGACATATACACAATGCTATGCTTAGAATGGATAACCAACAGGACCTATCATATAGCATAAATAAATAAATGAAGTGCTTAGAGTAAAAAAATGATTCATTAAAAAATCTATATATTGTTTCCATGATTGATTCTTAGCCTACATAGAAATGATTGATGACAATAAGATCTAGCATGTATTTTTTGTTAACTATGTATTATATAATTACTGCTTAATGTATATGTTATTTAATCCTTCATACCATCTAATCAGGTTGATTCATTTATTATTAATATTTCTATTTTATAGAAGAATAAATAAAGGCAAAAAAAGCTTAAGCTACTTGCTTAAGATATGCAACATATCACTGATAGAGTCAGAATTTAAAACCAGGGTTTTAAACCCAAATCTTAATCATTCCACTCTTCTTCCTCTCGATCAGAGCTCAAGTTCAAAGTATTTGAAAAAAAGACAATTTTTGTGAATCAAGACAAATTACTCATGGAAATGAAAAACCCATGCAAAATGAGAAATATAGCAGATGCATTGACATTATAGTCCATCTGGTTGTTTGGAAACAAGAATTTTAATTATAATTTCCATAAACAAAACCCTAAAAGTCTAGTATCTGAGGGAAAAAAAACAAAACAGAAAAAAACATTTTATGAGATAATCTAGCCCATTCTTTGTCTTAACCCAAGGATGACTGGAACAAGAATCTTAAACGTCACTTGAATTTCTGGGTTCTTCTTTCAACAGGTATTTATTTGTTAGTATTATGAACAGCTTAAAGAATGTTAAGATACAGTTCTTGTCTTCCTAGAACTTCCCATTAAGAAAACTGGTTATTCACATTACCATTTAGATGACCATATGTAGCCTCACAGAGGAATTCTATTTAGTTAAGTATTGCAAAGAATACTACAAACAACATCTAAGTCTCTGTCCATGAGTTCGTGTGGCAATGCAAGTACCTGTTGTAATGACATCATTGGGTCAGAAAATTTCAACTGTGGCAGTTCAGTCAGTTAATGCAGGTGCACCATTAATAACCAGCACTAGTCCGACAACAGCAGCCTCTCCAAAGGTAGTTATTCAGACAATCCCTACTGTGATGCCAGCCTCTACTGAAAATGGAGACAAAATCACCATGCAGCCTGCCAAAATTATTACCATCCCAGCTACACAACTTGCACAGTGTCAGCTGCAGACGAAGTCGAATCTGAGTGGATCGGGAAGCATTAACATTGTGGGCACCCCTCTGGCTGTGAGAGCACTTACCCCTGTCTCAATAGCTCACGGGGCCCCTGTAATGAGACTATCGGTGCCCCCTCAACAGGCATCTGGCCAGACTCCTCCCCGGGTTATCAGCGCTGTCATAAAAGGGCCAGAGGTTAAATCAGAAGCAGTGGTGAAAAAGCAGGAACATGATGTGAAAACTTTGCAGCTGGTACAAGAAGAAAAACCAGCAGATGGAAATAAGACAGTGACCCACGTAGTGGTTGTCAGTGCGCCTTCAGCTCTTGCCCTTCCTGTAACAATGAAAACGGAAGGACTGGTAACATGTGAGAAATAAAACAGCAGCGCTCCCGTGGACATTAGAATGTTAGTGATAGTCCTGGTATAAGTATTTGCAAGGATGTCATCGAAAGAAGTCAGAAGACTTTAGAACATCTTTAGTGCATTTAAGAAAACAATCAGACTTACTGGAAATAAATTACCTATCCCATGTTTCAGTGGGAAATGAACTACATATTGAGATGCTGATAGAAAACTGCCTCTTACAGTAGGAAACAACTGAACCCGTCAATAAGAAAAAGGACTGAAAGGGACCAAGCAACTCACTACAATATCAAGTTACACTAAGACTTGGAACACTAACATTCTGTAAGAGGTTATATAGTTTTCAGTGGGGAGGGATTGGGATGGGTGATCTTGTTGTTACATATAGCAATTTTTGATGCATTTTATATGCATACCAGCAATTATTACTGTGTTCACACAGAACTCACTTAACTGGTGCTATGTGAAAACTGCTAATATAGGTATTTTAGAATGTGAATTGAAGAATGGATCCAAAAGCTTCAGAAAGAGGTTAGCAAAAAAGATCTAGTGTGTTTTTTTTTGTTTTTATCATATAGCTTAAGCTGATTTAAAACAAAGGCCTTAGACTAATTTTCGGTTTTCTTTATTGAAATAAGCTAATGGCTTGTTTGTGTAAAGCTTTTTTATTAAAAGAAAAATTTTAAAAATCTTGTACCTAGCACAGTATTGTTATAGAATTTACATGTAACATTTTATATGGTAGTTTAAGTCTGTCAGTTTCTTAATTGTGGACAAATTAACAGTTGGCTCTGGCCTTTTGCTATAACATGCCTGTTTGTCACTCACTTAGCCCTGGCATCTGTGCAGACATATCCGTTTCAGTTCTACTGTCACTTGGAAGTTAAGGCTCAGCATGATTTTTGTCAGGTAACTCTAATACCTGGAGTTTTCTTTCTTCCTTTTTTTTTTTTAGTTGAAGTTTAAGAGGGAAAGTACCAGTGTTCAGATTTGAACTATAATAGTTTGTATATTCAACATTTGAAGTATATTCTATTTTGTTGTACTCTTGTTTCAAAGTGTATTCAAGTAGGTTTTCTGAAATATAGAAATGAAATTAAAAAAAAAAAAAAGTCTCTGTCCATGGATTCCTGGAGGGGTGATCTCTGCTCAGCCCCTTTGCTAGATGCATTCAAGCGGGGGTAGAACAATGTGGACCAGTTATGAGAAGTTTCATGAAGGAAGTGAGCTTGAGCTAGGACCTGAAGAACTAAGACAGTGGCAACGTGGGTGGAATAAGTGGGAGGAAGGATCAGCTTGGTATGTTCTGGAGAGAGTGAAGAGACGGATGTGGCTGGAACAAAGGAGTGTAGAGAGCAGTTAATTGGGTAGGGACTCCGCTAATGGTTTAGCGGGTAAAGAATCCACTTGCAATGCAGGAGCCTCATGAGCCACAGGTTCGATCCCTGGGTCTGCAAGTTCCCTTGGAGAAGGCAACCCACTCCTAGGAAATCCCACGGATAGAGTAGCATGGTGGGCTGCCGTCCAAAGGGTTACAAATAGTCAGACATGACTGAGTGACCTTGCACTCACGCAGGGTACTCTTAGGCTTAGGAGTTTGTAGTAGATCTTAAAGCAGCATGGAATTATGGAAGGTTTTAAGGAGATGTTCAAATATTTTAGGATGAAAATAGCAAAGATATGGAAAAAAGATTGGAAAGGGACAACTTCAAGTCAAGAGAATGGTTAAGAAGCTACAGCACAAATCCTGGTATGGTGCAGGAGATGTGAAATAGGATGGATTGTTTCTGCCTCCTGAAGTTATGGCAGGGTTATTCCCTGGGATGGTAAGATAAGATGGAGCTGCAGCAAACTATCAGAAAAGATAAGATCCATAACTCAAAATTCAAGAGAGTAAAATCTGTTCTTCAGGTTATAGGGGCAAGCATGGGACTGAGAAATAAAGATGAAGCTAAAATGAGCTGAATAAAGGCAACATCTGACCTGCAGGAGAGGAGACAGTATGGGACAAAGTAAGCAGGTTGTAAGAAGGTGAGGTTTTGCAGAAAGTTGTCTAAAGCTCTTTGAAGGGGGTGCCAGTCCCATGGCCTAACTAAGTCATTCTAAGCAGAAAATGAACAGACAACCATCACCGTGGCCTATGAAACATTAGGAAGTGTATTTCAGCTGACAATAATCTTGTTGGACACCAACCTGTCAGTTTTGAGGACCTTGGGGAACCTACATCAGCGCTAGCAGTTTTCTCAGAATTGTGTCTTTCTCTGAAATGACAGAATATTTTGGATGACCAAAAATTTTGCATGATCCAAGTTCTGAACCTTGGAGAAGATTGCAAGATGGGAATGAATACAAGAAATTTATAAAACTGAATCAAAAAATTTTTGATGGAGTAAGATCTAAAATTATGTAGTTTTAGATCAGAAAGAGACTAGAAATTTTTTTATAGTTCCCCACCTAAGCTGGATTCTCAAAAATAACATTCACTATTGTCCTTTAAAAGTGTTTTTATATCAAGAATATTTCTGTATACTTTATAGCATTTAAATTTCCCCATTTTAGAATAGTAGGTTGGACTCACAGACAAATGTTAACATTTGAACTACCATGTACTTTATTATAAATCCTACTACTGTGATCATATTCATTAACAGATAAAATAAATTGGGATATTTAGATGATGGTTTTTTAAAAAATCTAAAATCTGTTGCCCAAAACCCCCAAAAGCTGTTTTTGTTTTTGTTTTTTTGTGGTTTTTGTCATACATTGAAATGAATTAGCCATGGATTTACATGTATTCCCCATCCCGGTCCCCCCTCCCACCTCCCTCTCCACCCGATCCCTCTGGGTCTTCCCAGTGCACCAGGCCCGAGCACTTGTCTCATGCACCCAACCTGGGCTGGTGATCTGTTTCACCCTAGATAATATACATGTTTCGATTCTGTTCTCTTGAAACATCCCACCAAAAGCTGTTTTAAATGATGTCTTAGAGAATTCCAATGAGAAATTCCTAGACTAGTTAGTAATACCATCTATAGTTGCACCCTACATAAAGTAGGTGAGAAATGTTTAAAGCATAAAATCTCACCTGCTGCTCCCAGGGAGAATAGTTGACAGAGCTACAGGAAGTCACAGAAAGCCAGTGAAATATGTCCCAGTTGGAAGACATTTTCAGGGGACATTGAAAAGAAATTTTTTTACTCAGAATCTGAACATTGATCATGTGAAGAGAAGGACAAGGATGTTCTGCTATTATATTTATAGTTCAGCATGAGAAAATGAACAATCATAAAAATCAGGATGATAAAAATCAGGATGATCTATGAAGGAGCAGGGTATATTTTCTATAGTGACAGCTGGCTAAGGTTTTTGTCAGATCTCTAGAGAAAAAGTGATGCTCACACCAGGATTAAAGAAACCTACTGAATCAGTTCACACACAATGTATTTATGTTATAAAGTATTATGTTACTTTTTACATTATAAAGTAATAGAATTATAATCTTATTCTATTGTCACTTTAATTGAGAGAGGTAGTTTTTTTTTTTGGTAGGTCTTTTTTCTCTCCTTTCTTCTTTTGTTCTCTTGTGATGTGCTGTCTTAAGTGTTATATGTGTTGTTGTTAGTTGCTCACTCATGTCTGACTCCTTGCGACCCCATAGACTGCAGCACAAAGGCTTCCCTGTCCTTCACCATATCCCGGAGTTTGTTCAAACTCATGTCCATTAAGTTGGTAATGCCATCCAGCCATCTCATCCTCTGTCATCCCCTTCTCCTGCCTTCAGTATTTCCCAGCATCAGGGTCTTTTCCAATGAGTTAGCTCTTCGCATCAGGTGGCCAAAGTGTGAGAACTTCAGCACCAGTCCCTCCCATTCAGGACTGATTTCCTTTAGGATTGAGAATTGATGCTTTTGAACTGTGGTGTTGAAGAAGACTCTTGAGAGTGCCTTGGACTGCAAGGAGATCAAACCAGTTAAGTGTAAGAAGTAGCATTATGAGCCAAAGACATAGGATTTGTCTTTGTAACCGTTCTTGGTTCTTCTTCACCAAGATGAATACGTCCTGGCTCATTTGCTTCACTATTTCTTCTCACTAGTTTGGGCATGAGGAATGTTCTTTTTTTTTTTTTTTTTTATGAGGAATGTTCTTAAAGCCATATTACAGAGGCAATCAAAGAGATGTATTCTGAAATAAAATCATACTTTTCTCTACATAAAAAAAGACCACAGCAATATCAACACATCCTAAATAATCTGTTTTCTCTGGAGAATAAATTTTCTGCTCACAAAACAGCTGTACATCCCATCTTGTTCTTATTAGAGTTTAAGTCATATAATGAACTGTGAAAAGAATGTTATGTGCCAGTGTACCCTGTTCTCATACTAAACAGCTTTGCAGTAAAGGCTAGTTTATCATTCCTTGTTTAAAAATGTGATTCCTGTGGTTCCTTCAGAGGTAGCCAACTACAACTTCAATGTTATCAAATCATTCCTTGTTACCTCTTTTAGCTACCCTTGGGTGTTTTCAAATGTGTATCACTTTTCAATAAAAGGTCTCCTATATTGAAAATTTACAGTAGCATTGATTTTTTAATAATAAAATATGGAAGTAAATTTATGAATTGTCTGATCAGTATACAAAGCAGCATGATACATTTCAATTTTGCACTGACATCAGTGACTAGCTTTTTAGTGAGGTGCAAAGCTGTTGTAAGACATTTTCTAAGATAAAATCCTGATCTGGATATGTCTGTGTTGATGAATTAGCTAATTTATGGAAATGGTGCCAAGAAAGTCAGATGATTAAGAGGCATCCCCAAGATGACAGAATTATGTGAATCATTTCTATAAAAGTGGAGCCTGCGCCTGTAGCCTTGCGAACATTGAAGGCTGATTTTACATGGGATGCATGAAAACATTTGTGCTTCACTGTTTTGAAGTTAAGAGCTACAGATTGAATGGCAGGCTTACCACTACAGGTTTCCTCATTAGAAATTCTCACTTATTGAACAATTTA